TGTTGCACTCTTCTATAACCTTCAAACTCAACATTTTATCTACTTCGCACATTTAACATTGGATCAATTGTAATTTTATAGTGTGGTTCGACACAAGCCGCTTATATCTGTAGTGCATATACTTGGGATTTGACTACGCTTAGTTCCACCGCAAACTGTTGTCTTAAGCGCTGCTCTTGTTCAGTGTATTTGTTCGGGGCTCATTTCAATTTATATATTGTCTAGCAGCTGGCTGCTCTTTCGCTATCGTCACTGTCAAATCCTCTTGAAATATTCATACAAAACTGAAAATTAAAGAACTAAGACACAGAACTTAAGCTAAGAATGTCCAGCGGAAAAGTACTGGCAAGCGACTCCTCCTACAACTCCATAGTAGCTTACTCAGCAAAATTCGCCATAAGCGGGCGCAACCTGCATTGTGACATACGAAACGGTATATGAGCGTGGGTTGCTCTATAGTTTTGTCGCTCGAGCATGCGAGGGTATTTTAATGTCTTCTTGGGAGTGACGCTCGTTAACTTCTATTAATAAGGTAAATTCTTACTTTTATTTTAATTATTAATTTTTATAAATATGCAGAGATTAATATTAATTGTGACTACAGATTTTAGTTGCTTTGAATACCTGAAGAGGTCTGCTTGGGGCACGGACATTTCCTCTGAGATGTCTACCATTGTTATTGTTAGTGAAATTTGCCTTTTTGGTAATTGCGATAGTTATTGCCTCTATTATGTCTGCCCCGCTGATATAATACTGGGTGCAAGGGTAACGCTGCGGTGCCTGGGACTTTTCTAACAGCTTTGTTGTGGTTCAAATATTAAGTGTTTTTTATAATAGCTATGCGATCGAATGTGACGAGGTGAGCCCCTTTGTTGTTAGCATGTCATCTATGTCGACTCTTGCGAATTGTCCGTTGACGATGATTACCCCTCATTCACTAGCGTAATCAGCTCCAAGTGACTGGGTTGTGGCATACAAATGATACGCCTGCACATATTCCGCTCACACAGGTTTCATGGGTTGCCGGTTTGCAGAAGGTCGCATAGTTTGTTGTAGTGCACTTGTCCCATCGTCGCAATCCTACGTTGACATGCATTTGCAGTACAGTGTTGTTGTGTGTCGCGGGAAATATTATGGCCTTCTTACAGATAACTTAACTTAAGTATAGTGGATTAATATGTAAATAATGTTATTGGATTGAAATACTACTTCTTAGATACAACCATTAACTTTAGGGACCTCTGCGAGCTGTTCGGCCAAAACAGAAATTATTGTGATATAAAATAACGGAATTTATTTAATTGGAAGTGGCGAGTGTGATAGTGAGCATTAGGTTTTGTATACCTATAATTAATATTCTGTTACTCGCTAGTAGCATTTTATATAGATGGGCGGTATCTACATTAAAATAAAAACGTTTGATTATTATTATTTATTCGCAAATCCATCTGGATTGTACCGTGGATATGAGAAAACTGATTTTACAATGATATCTTAGGTTATAATGACGCCGCGACGTTCCAGAAGCGGCATAGGCAGATCGCTGACAGTGCGCCTCGTGCCGTTCTTCAGCAAAAATTCAGCGAGTGCATTCGCGGGATCATATTTCTATGGGTTGGCCGTTGACCGGCCGGCACTCCACTGTCAACGTCTTCTACAAATATCGCAACATTGTTGCGACGGTATCCGGTTACTCAGTCGGATAACTCCTCCCTCAGCTAAGGGCTGGGGTGGTACTGGTTCTGATGATTGGTTCCGACACGAACTTAGACCGTAGGTGGCCGATGTGTTGCAGGTTCATCACGCTTAACTCATGCAGTGATGGCAGATTCAGATGTTCCCAAAATTCGGTAACATTGATCTGAGTGACGGAGGACTGGTTTGTTTTAAGGACACCATAGCTGTTGATCAATGTGGTCTTATTTATCTTGATTTCAACGAAGGTAGCTAGGTAAGTGCGAAAATATATTGTTGTTGTTATGCCAGCATTGTCCGTGATCGTGACAATCGCATCTTTGCAAGAGTTCCGGATATGAGCTGCTGAGCACAGTTCGGTGATCGTAGCCTCCTGCAGAACGTTGTACTCACTGCTGCATCGCACTTACCGACGGTAAGAATGTTGGACGGAAAAAATGTTGATTTTCTTATAGGCTAATTCAGGATTTGGGTATTTAATTAGCAAATAATATATCGTTATATTGAAAGGCCTAAATTCTAGCTACTTGAAATATGTCTGCTACACGAACATTTCTAAAGTGTTTGAAGATCATTTCTTTTATATCAATTTCATCCAATATTGCTGGGCTGATCAGGTTTATTTTTGCCAGAGTGATAGCGTGGATTAAATTTTGTAAATCTGTTATTATCATTCTATGTTTTGCCAAAAGTGTTTCTAAGAGGTGATCTGTAGAGGTCCCGTCAGTCTTATGTATCGAATTTAAGGTCTTTGTTAGTGCGTTAAGCTTTGTTTGTAGCTTCGTATTTATTTCTATTTGTCTGGTTTCAGTATCTATTAACTGCATTTGACTAGACTTTATTTGCTCCTAATTGTCAACGTTTGGAGTCGCTGCTACTGCTTTTAAACCTGTTCCTAAAAGATGTATACTGTGATGTCCATGATTAACTTTGTATACACTGAACACATTAAAAATGCTTATAAGGGTATATTGTATTTGTGCAAAATCCAAACGTATGTAACAGGCAGAAGGAAGCATCTCAGACCCCATAAAGTATATATATTCTTGATCAGCATCAATAGCCGAGTCGATCTAGCCATGTTCGTCTGTCTGTTTGTCCGTCTGTCCGTATGTATGAACGCAAGAATATCAGAACCTTTAAGAGCTAGATGTAGGTGCTCCTAGTGCCTGCGCATATCGAGTTTGTTTCCGATAATCGATAACTTACTCCGTTTCCAAGCAATCGATAAAAATCGATATCGACATCATGTTTTTTGAGCAAATTGGGTAAATAATAAGAGCTAGAGCCACCAATCATGATACGTTGCTTCTAGAATATTATATTATATTATTATAATGTTATCAAGTGTCTTTCATTTTATACCTATCGTCACCTCCCCGCGGCCACCATAGAGCTATGAAGTATGTTAATCACCCAACTTTTATTGCCACCCAATTTAATCCACAATTTAAATGCAATTGATTTTTTCAGAATACACAAATATTCTATGGTACAATAAGATATACTGTAGCAAATTTCATAAATATTGGTTAAGAAAAAACCAAAGTTGTATGCAACTGCGCAATTGAATGGGGCAGCATCTTTAAGAATTTCTGTATACATGTACACACACACACATTCATGCGCGTCTTTCGAACAGCATGGTTAATGCGACTTTTTTCTGTAATGATTTTTAATTTCTTTTTTTATCATAAGTACTTAATTATTGGTGTGGCTGCTGAGTAGAGGCATAGCAAGTTGTGCGGTCTGTCGCGAGTTCGAGTCCTACCGGGGAAAGTATGTTTTTTTTTATTGCTGGTGTAGCTGTTGGGTAAAGTCGACAGCAAGTAATGCGGTCAGTTGCGAGTTCGAACCCTGCCAAGGCAACTAATTTTTGTTGATTTATTTGGTGTTGGAATAAGAGGGTTCAGGGTATTCCTTAGTCGGGAGCTCCCAACTAGAACCTCTTACTTGTTGTTATTAATGTATCGATATATGAAAGATCTGTAGTCAGTATATCACCGATGTGTTCCTGGTTGAATACTTATTCTTATAGGGTCGTAGTCGTAAGTTGGTATCAGAATTAAAGAACGCATAAGCCTAAAGGGAGTAAATGTATCTTGGAAGAAATGCAATAAAAGTTTTTGCTTAAATATTAGAGGTATCTTTAATCGTGTTACTTGAGGTTGTCTTTATAGACCACCCCCTCTTTAATAAGAACCTTCGTGTTCAGTGATGATCGTTTCTTTCGTACATAATGGTGTGATTTTGTACCGTCGTTTGTTTGCTTTTAGCCATACTCGTTCTCCTCTTTGGAATTCCGCATGTGGTCTATCTTTATTTGATTGTTCGAAGCTCTTGTCTTGGGCTCTTTAGAGTTTTTCCCTTACTTGAGATTCTAACTTTATTGCACTATTTCTATCGGGTTTCTATTAGTGACGGAATGAATGCTCCTTTTATCTGCAATGGTAGATAGGAGGATTAGATCAATAGTGTCGTCAGTTTTCTTTCTGTCATACTTTGTTCAAAAGGTCAGTTTCCGTAGCTAGTCTGTTCATATTAGAAAAGAAATAGTCACGCAATATTTGTTTGACATTTTTTTTTTTTGGGCAGAGCGGTGCGGTCTGTTGTGTTCGGTGATAACAATTTCCCTTTGTTCGGTTTTGTCGGTTATATCCGTTGTACAATTAATGAATCCAGTTATAGTTACGAGATTTAGAAGGAGCGACTGTTCTTATCGCTCCAGACACTTTTATCAATCTGCTTTTACATTTTGGTATTAACTATTACTAAGCCTAAGGCTAAGCAGTCCCTGGTGGCAGCGCTGCCCTTTGCAAATAAGTCGTTTTATATATAACATATGAAACGAATATATGTAGCATTTATGCAACAGCGAAAACTTCGCTGGTAGGATAGAGCGTGTTGTGCACATATATATCTTATGCAAGCGGTCACTGCATGGGACACATGCTGACGCGGCTGGTCTATAGTCGAGACACGCGTAGCCGATCATATTTCGGTACTGTACTTGAATATGCACTGCACTGAATATGACATATGTTTATGCAACAGAGAATAAGTGTCGTTGCATTCAAATATTTATGTTTATTGGTATATATAGAGTATATATTGGACATATTGCTGAGCACAGTGTTCTCTCGATTTGTGCATACCACACCTACCTCTTTTTGAAAAATATCGTAAATTTATAAAGTTATTATTAATCTATGTATTTTAATAAATGTTTTGTTTTTATTCATAGAGAGTACATTTATTTCAATAGAGTGTTGCGAAACTGCTTGTTTCTTGTTGGGCCGCGCCGGCTGGCTCCTCGGTTTCTCTGGGTGTAGTCCCAACCCTGGCCCGCAGTCCGTACAATCGATAACAACAAAGCTACAGCAAAACAGACTTACACAACACTATGCAAAACGAACCACAAATCGATAACACTAAACAATAGGAGCATCTTACAGATAAACAACATAAACAGCTGTGACGATAAGTAAATGTAAACAACAACGGTGAGACGTTAAAATAAACTAACAAATAATGAAAACGCTATTAATCCATTTTACTCTTCCAGATCGGGTCCCGGTTCCGGACCCAGCGTACCCGCCCTAACATGAGACGATCACCTACTTGTCTCCCACATTTTGGCCATTATATGGCCTGCATCAGCCTGTGCCGGCTATTACGGTACGGTATGTAATTGTTTGCATTTCTTATCGCGATTAACACTTAATCTTATTTCTTATTTCCCTGCAGGATACAGATCGGGCATTTTAAACAGGTGCATACGATAAGTTGGTATATTATTATATTTAGAACAAGTTATATTAATTTTTGATTCCAATTTTTTTTTTGTTACAGAATATATATATAACATTTCTCGCAACTTCCCTTCAACAGGTGCATTTAACGTGTTGCATCATTTCATATTCGTGACAATTTATATTAATCTTTAAAATCTTAAATTTAGTACAGAACGCATTGTTTTACAACGTTTGTACGGAACAGGAGGTAAAAACACGGTCAAAACTTATTGCCAGTCAACAAATGAAAGAAAAACAAGGGGAGACATATCAATACAGGTAATTATTACACCAACAGGGAGCAAGTACCCGCTAAGATAAATGCATGTATACATATCTGTTTCCAACCAAAGGCGTTATGTTCGTCAAAAGCGTTTAGATTACCGTGCCTGCCTAAAGAGCTCTCTGGGTGGGGGCGGTAAGGGCGATCATAAGGTGTCTTCTTCATCTGAGCATAACATATATTTATATATATATATATATATATATATATATATATATATACGTATACGTATATACATACGTATAATGCGTAAATTTACTTAATTGCGACTAGTCGTGACTAGAATTAACAATTTTAAAAAAATCTGTTCTTTCAGAGACCCTCAAATATGGGTCTGCTTCGGCCTCTCCCTTTTATTCGGGCGAGGGAAGAACGACGTGGAACGGACTCACTCAGTGATGAAGTAGGCGGGGTCTCGTCTATGGCCGCCTCTCGTCGTTAGAGTCCCGTCCGTAATGGCTCGTCTCGCCGTCGATGTCTGGCCGTGTTTGGAAAATCTGGCCCGCAAATATCTGGGTTGATCTGGCCAACGTCCTCCGGCGCTGGATTTAGACGTTGTCTGCCACCAAATGGCTGCGGTTGCTCTAATGGAGTACCCCTTTTCTTGTTGTTTTAAGCGCCGCACGACGGTGTATTATTGTTCTTGTGTACCATTGCTTTTTGTAATTGGTTAGCAGTTAAGGAATTTTTTTTTGCAATTCAATAATAAAAATAGCAAAGAAGGGGATCACACGGTATGATTAACTCGCTCGCTCGCATTGATCTATGGTGCGTAGCCTCCAGGACGCATGTGCGAGATGTTGTTGTCTTGTTTTGGAATGCACTGGACATCAAGTGTCGTCCGTTGTCAGAGTGGATGACCTCGGGTACTCCAATCTTATAAAAAACCTCGCTGACCCAAAACTCAACCACGTTAAGAGCCGTAGCCTCCCGCATCGCTTTCAAGAAAGTGAATTTTGAAAAATGGGCGACTACTACGAAGTGGGTACTTTCCCAGAAAGTCAATATATACTTTACCGGTCATTACCCCTTCCTTGCATGTCACACACTGTCTCACCCAATCTGTTACCTGACTAACCATGCCGGACCAGTAAGCCGCCTACGTAAAGTTTCGAGCGTTTTCACTACATCCCCGTGACCAGCCGTCTCATCTACTTGAGCCTATTAAGCCGGCTGTCAACAAACTTGGCACGCTTGAAAAGTAAATTCCCTTCAACCTTCAGATCCGGTAGCTTGTCCTGATTCGAACGTACTCGTGGTCTCAAATTCGAGGAGGTTTTCCGTAACCTTTCCCACGGCTCCGATACTCCGCGATAAGGTGTCGGCCACTACGTTCTCACTGCCTTTACGGTGCTCGATATTTAAATCGTAGCCTTGCTGCAATGCCCAACGTGCTAGTCTCCCGCTTAGGTCCTTTATGGACATCAGCCATTTTAGGTTGGCGTGGTCCGTGATACAGGTGAACGGCATCCCTTCTATATAGCGTCTGAACATTTTTATGTCCAGTATTCACCCTAAGCATTCTTTTTCAGTGACGGAATAATTCCGTTGGTGCTTGTTCAACTTGGCTGAAAAGAAGACTATGTGTCGTTCCTGATCTTCAGTGTCTTTTTGAAATAATACCAAACTAAGACGCATCACACTGCACGAAAAAGGGCATCCGCGTGCACCAGTACTGGGGCCGTGATCAGGGCGATCTTCAATTGTTCAACGGCTCGTGTTGCCTCGTCACTCAATACGAACTCTCCGCTATCCATTTTTAACATTTTAGTCAGTGGGTCGGCCATTGCCGCGAAATCTCGCATAAAGCGCCGGTACCAACGTGCCGTAACCAAAAAAAAGCGAACCTCTGCGTGACCGAGGCACGGGGCTTCGTTTAATAGCTATAACCCGTTCGGGGTCCATGCAAAGCGTGCACCAATAATGAATCCTAGGTATTTTAATGCCCGGAAGCAACATTTGGATTTTCGCAGTCCAATAGAGAGCTTGGCTTCTCAAGCATTTGCGTGGGGAAATCAGGGGAAATAACTAATAAGTCGTCCAAGTATAGGAAGACGTTGGACCGTAACTCGTTGGGAATTACCTTGTCCATCAGACGAACTAGACGTTGGACTGTATTGCATAAACCAAACGGCATGACGCGAACTGGTATAGCGGCCTACCTGGTACGATAAATGCGGTATAGGGCTTGCTTTTTTCGTCTAGTTCGACCTGCTAATATGCGAACTTCAGATCCACACTGGAGATGTAGTGGGTCTGGTCTAATCTTGATAGGATGCCTTCTATACAGGGTAGTGGATACGCGTCTTTCACCGTCGAATTATTGAGCTTGCGTGCATCGAGGCAAAAACGGGTTTTCCCCAGTATTCGCACTACGGTTGTGCGGTTACTCTATGGGCTGTTGACCTCTTCTATAACCTTCAAACTCAACATTTTGTCTACTTCGTCATCCACTACTTTCTGCATCGGTGGCGATAATGGGTAGGGTCCATCTTTGAGCGGTTGGGCCCCTTTCACTAAGTCGATAGTGTGCTTCTCTAAGTCTGTCGTTCCTAATCCACTATGCTCAAAAGACAAAAACCCCTGATTTACCGCCTCCAACTCTATCCTTTCTTCTAGAGACAACTCCCGTGAATCTGGCTCAATTTCACTTTATTAGTGCCCTTCCGCATAGTATGTCATAGTCATTGCCAAGGGCTCTTCTAGGTGTTCCGTGGAGGTTGCCTTCTCGAGGCCCAAACTATAAGGGGCTAAGTTAAAAGCGAACGCTGGCGCGTCGAGAAACTCCATCTGGTCCAGGGAAGAGCTCCTCCACTATGCCCCTTCGCCACTCTCTGCGTGGCACGGGCAGGTCGCATACCCGCCGCTTCCTAAAACGGTCTTGTTACAGCCGCGCCATGCGCAACTGTTTCCTCGTGGCGCATCTCTCGTTCGGCTGCTCGTCGATAGCGGGAGTGGCAGGCAGATTGCAGATTGGACACTCCTTTAAGTAGATCGTTCGGTGTTAGGGGGGCTTCCTGGTCCACACACACCGGAAAATAGGTAAGCGGCCGAGAGTTCACAACGTTCTCGGCCTCAATCAGGAAACTCTCCAGTACGTGCTGCTTTGGTGCCACCTCCTTTACAGTGTGGCGTAGCACTCTCTTAACACACTGCACCATCCTTTCCCAGGCTCCTCCATCAGGTGGGTTCGCTGGGCAGTTAAAGATCCATTTAATGCCTCTAGAAAATAGAATCTTTTCCGGCTCGAATACATCTATAAGCCTTTTGGCTTCTCTGTCGGCTCCAACAAAGTTCTTTCCGTTGTCACTGCGCAACCTCAGTACAGGTCCGCGATGGCAAAGAAAGTTCCTGATCACGATTATGCAGGAATCAATTGACAGGTCATGTGCCAGCTCCAAATGTATGGCCCTTGTTTTCAAACACGTAAGCAAGGCGACCCATATCTTCTCTTTTCAAAGTCCGATCGTCACAACGAGTGGTTCAAAATAGTCCAGACCCGTAAAATTAAATGGGCATCCATTGGCCTCCAGTCTGTCCTCTGGCAGAGGATACATTATAGGTGACGCTGGCTGCGCTCTATGTAATTTGCACACACTACATCGAGATATTACTGTACGCAACAGTCGACGCAGCTTTGTTATCCAAAATGTGGTCCTGATTTGGCCTATCGTTGCATCCACGATTTGATGCTTTTTTTTTACACGGTAGTAATACACAATCTGTTCCGTCAGTACGTGTCGGTGTGACAAGATTATTGGCCTTCTTCACTATGCGGTATACACAGTGCGGCATCGATCGTGCTATATGCACGCAAGAATTCCATTGTCACTTAAGTAAGGCGCCAGCCCTCTTATGTCGCTTCAATGACCTACTGATTCTTCATTGTATGAGGCTCGAGCCTCGTCAGAAAACCAAGCCGCCTTCCTAACCAGCCGACTGTAGCTAGAGAATCTCCGAAATTAAATGAAAAAATTATTTGCTGCAACTAAGGCAAATTCACTTGGCATCTCTTGTTCATCCTCGTAGGATGAGTGTTCCATGCCCGGTTCATTGGCTGAGGTCTCCGTATTTTCAGCAGTAGGTACTCATCTCCATTGGGAAACCTTTGTAGACTGCAAAATTTCTCCCACTAGATTTCCGACGAACTGCTTATATCGACGGTGGGGGCCGCCTATCCAACGCAGCACTGTTTTGGAATGGGTAGAATCGCATAGTATAGAATCGCTGATCGCTATACTGTGGTCCTTTTTGACAGTGTCCGTCAGCCTCGTTCCTAACACGGCTGCTTGCAATTCCAGTCGTGGAATTGACATCGTGTTTATTGGGGCACACTTCACCTTTGGACATATGAAGCATACTCGCACGTCGTTGTCGTCATAGGTGACCCTCAAGTAAGTCACAGGTGCGAACGCTGACTGATGCATCGACATAAACGTGCAGCTGTATTGCTCGCACAGGTGTTTGGCCGAAGTATTGGCGTGAGCTCCGAAATCCTTCCACGTTGTTCATATCCTGAAGCCATTTGCTAAAGGTTGGGTACTTTGTGGTACTTCATGTTGAATTTGAAATCGTCCGTGGCTGGTTGCCAACACATGTCCAGAATCTTTTCTTCAGCTTCGCCTCGTTGGCCCAGCACGTCAGCTACAGTAGGCGAACTGGAAGTAAAGTAGCTCAATTCAAATCCAGCATTTGCATGTATTTCTCGTATTCTTGTTGATATGGTGCTGGCGTCACCTTCACTATCAAAACTATTCACATAGTCGTCCACATAGTGTCATTCAAAAATAACTTTAACCGCGCGATCATCGCCGTTTCGCCACAAGAATCGCTGGGCGCATCTAACCAGCGATCGAATTAACACTTGATGGAACATCTCTCGGATGTCTCCACAAACGCCAACGGCACCATCCCGAAAGTGGAAGAGAACAGCCGGCAACGACTTATAGTGTTGCTGCTCCTTGGATAATGCGGAATTCAATGAAATTTCACCAACGATTGCTGCCGCGTCGAACACCAGTCTTATCTTACCGGGCTTTGGATTTTCAACTCCAAAGTGCGGAAGATACCAACGTTTGTCGCTGTTAGCTAAAGCGACCTCATGCTGCTTCATTCGTCGAGCATATCCTTTATGAACATAATCGTCCATAATTTTCATATAGGCTTGTTTAATCCGATCGTTACGCTTCACCTTTCTCTCAATGTTGATCAATCTTTTGTATCCATTCCATAGCTTTGTGGCAACTCCATAGCTTCGTGGCAACTCAACATTATCACGGTTCCATAATAAACCTGTCTGGTAACGTTCTTCTATTTTCACCGTAGTGTCTTCGAGTATCTCCTGTGCTCGTGCATCGTCGCTGCCTGCGACTGATGGCGTAAGTTTCACACCGAAGCTTACGATATTAAAATAGTCGTTTACCATCTTTTGGATTGCATCCTCCTGCGACACTGCTTGGAGGCATGACTTTGATGACGTTGCCGTTGGTTGACCTTTTTCCAAAAACCACTTATTCAAGTTCGGTGGCTGCGGCATATGGTCCCTGTGGTGCAAATCTTTTTGTTTGCATTGGCAGTCAAAGATGCGCATGGTCCGGTTTCATTGGAAGTCGTGCGCCTTTGCCCGACATTTGGATGTCACTTCGATGGAGGCTTTGCATTGGTAAGCTCAGATTGGACACGGC